GACACTGTCCACACAGCTTTTGTCCTGGCATTTGAATTTGAAACGTAGAACATTTGATTGGTTTGCTAGTCAATTTCGTTATCTCTTCTGTCGGTTCTAGACCGAAAGAATCAAAGAAATAAAAGTTATTCGAAGAATCTTTGTGTAAAGCAGAGTGATGAACTCCTTTTTGATCCGAAGTATTAATGTTTGTGATGGCGTAAAATTTACCTTTTTTGTATTTCAGTTCATCAATTTCATCTCGCATGCAATAATAAAACGGCGATACGTTCAACTCCTTGGCCCATTTTACAAGTTGAAAATTTGTGGTCGTGTCTTTTCCGTATTTATCGAGAAATGCATTCATTTTTTAAGTTGATTTTTTTTAGGTGTTTTTCGAAGTAGGCTGTAAGTATTGCTGAAGACCCAATTGACGAAATATATATACGTAGTTTGTGTTTGAAAAAACTTGTATAACATTCTGATAAAACACATTCAATAATATTTTGAAGATAAATTTACATTTAAATTTAAAAAATCTTAATTTAAGAGAGCGAAAATGCTTGTCGACATCTAAATTTCTTAACCTTTCATCTAAATCTTCATTTTCGAGATTCATTTTTAAAAGTCAGTTTTTTGAAGTTCATTTTGATAAAACCTTCCTATGATTTGTTCTTTGTCTTGATCGATCAATTCATACGTGGGAGGTGTTGTACTGTTTACTTTATCAACGATGAATATCTCGTTAGTCCAATAGCCGACGTAACCTTTCTGAAACAATGATTTATATTTAAAAATACGAACTCGATCTCCAACTTTGAATTTGGGTTTAATATTCAAATTGCTAATCTCGTTTTCAAAGTTGTTTCGAGTGTTGACGGACTTTATGATATTCTGATTGGCTTGCGTGCGTTGGCGTCACACCTATAGACGAGTGTATTTTGTTATTGTATTCGTAGACAACAACTGGTAATATTTTAAGCCATTTTTGAGATTTCAATTCCGTGAATTTCTTGAATAATTTGCTTTTAAGAGTCCTGTTGAATCTTTCTATCACTACAGCCTTACCTTCGTTATGCGTGCTGTAAATTTCAAACCCCAGAGATTTCACATTTCTGTTGTAGAATTCGCTTCCTTTATCAACCCACAACTTTAGGGGTCGTCTGTCGGATTGTTTCATTACGGTTTCGAATGCTTGTTTGACAGTCAGACCCGATTTGTTTTTCAAGGGAAAGACCCAAGCGTATCTCGTGTATATGTCGATCACCGTCAAACAATAATTGTACCCTCTCTCGACTGGCATGTTGATTAAATCGGCTGACCAAATTTCATCTTTATCAAAAACTTTGACTTTGAGGTAATGTTTGTTTTTTTCGAAATGCTTTGTGAATCTCGTCTGCTATGCCCATACCCAATTTCAATTTTGCCTTCAAGAGTTTAATGATAAGAGCCCTTTGTAATTTCTCTTTGAAAGTGGGATTGGGAATATTTTCGAGTTCGTCTATCATTTGTTTGTCTGCTTGGTGTCTGAATGTTATGTCTTTGTTTCTGTACAGTATGTCGTGTTTGAGCGCTGCTGCGTCAACTCTATTAACGGATTCTTCCCCTGGTTTGGGATTATCATTTTCGTCTAAACGCAGATCTAACCTAGTGCCTGGACCTGTATAATTGTGCCCAGGGAGATGTTTTTCTCCGGGATATTTTGCCCATGGGAATCCAGGAAGAGAACCCAATGACTTTTGAATGTCTTCCGCACCGAAATACGTTTTAGGAGGATGGACATTTATTAAAGACATATTTGTTCAATAATGAAATAAACACTATATATTTTTAATACGAAAGATTTAATACAGGAGAAAACTATTCAAGCGATAGAAATGAATCACTTTATGAAATGTCACGACCGATCCTAATAAGAGCGGTTTGAAAAATGAGGTCACGAGCGATCCGAATAAGAGCGGTCATGACATTTAAATTATGACTGCCAATAGTGTAAGACGGGAGATAACTATGACCGCTCTTATTAGGATCGCTCGTCATCCTTTCTTCTTCACCACTTGTTCTATTTTCGAAAATCTGTATCAACAATTTTGAAACCTTGGATATTTTGTCACAGAGTTTGG